AATATGTGTACAAGCATAAGACATTACATGATTATTTGGTGTGAGTTTATTTAGAGAGAGGAGTAGATAAAATCTATATGGTATTTACGGCTTCTTTCTTGGGCACGAAGGCTAGTCTTGTTCCACTATTTATCGAAGGATTGTCCCATAATTTATTGAGGAACTTAAACTTACTTATCTCTACTTATTTGTCAAGAAAACTAGTTCCTAGACATTTGGGAATAGGAGAAGCCGTGGTTCGAAAGTAAGTATTAGGATCTTTAGTTGGGTCACACCTTACAATTGGTGAGCTTAGCTAGTCTAGTCATAAGAGCAAAACCCTAATTGATATTATAGCTCATAGTTTCAGTCGGAGGAAATAAGGAAGATTTGATTATGCATATGTTTATTTAACGTATCACATAGTTGTTAAGTTTATGGTAAGTCATGATAGATGATTGTGCCATTATCATATGACTATCTATATTATGGTGATATGCATTATTACTGTTGATTGGACTGTTTTCACATGGTTATCTGTGTTGTGGCAATATGTCTTATGATGTGATTATGTGAAAAAGTTAATAATAAGTTAAAGGTGTAATTGTAATATACTCATGTTATGTGTGATTTTATGAAATCAAGTCTTCCACTCCCATTGATGTGTTTTTATTAATTGATATGCAGCTGCATGGGGTAGACGTACTTTAGTTACTTAGTAGTTGTACCCACTCCTCTCTTTTAATATTTTACAAGCTCTAGCTCTGATGTGGATAAGGAAAGACTATAGAAGCATAAGAGTTTGTGTATTCCTAATGTAAAGCCTCATAATCCCATTTATTTTGTATGATTGATAACATATTGTCAATTAATATATATTTTATTTACATTTGCACTATCTTTGAGTTTATGATTTTAGAATGCATTTTGGGCCTTGGAATGTGTATGTATGTTTATTATTAATAAGGCTAAAATATTAGTATAAGTATAGGAATGATGGTTTGATTATAACTATGAAAGTTATTTGTTAATTGCAATGCTAAAATCTTCCACTTCTATTTTTAATATTCAAGGGGTTAAGGAGTGAAAATTTGTTATTGTTAAGATTTTGTGCATGTGGTGTGTTGTATAAGTAATTTCAAGTCCGTGAGTATATTTTGAGTGTTAGTTATAGCTATTGGCACATGTGTGGGGTTTTGGGACATCCTTAAATTGTGAAAAGTATGTAAAGTTGTGAAAATATGTTTAGGTGCCAATCTTCCTTGTATGATATAATTTAAAAGTAAAACTCATGCCAATAGCTAGTTTATAAAAAAAGCGTTATATAGACACTTAGATCACTTTAATCAAATATCATATAAAGAAATGGAGCGTATCAAAAGTTTCCCCTGGTTGCTGTCATTTGATAGTAAACAGTTGTCTGATATGTGCAACATGCTATGACGTGTGGTGCCTACCTCACGAAGCATATGCACATGCCATGGCATATCATCCTATTTTTCACTTCTCAGCATTTTTAATTGATTTTGAGTATTTTTACTCTCATAAGATATTTCATGATTTCGAAATAATATCTTGATCTAATTTAAAAATTATTAAATGATGCTTAAGTACTTTGAATGATGAAAAGCTTGAGATCATATTTCCACAGATTACAAACTTGGTAGTTTAAAGGGGCTTAGCTCATGATTACCTTGATTTTGGAGTTAAGGGTAGATTAGTAAGGGTGACCTTGCTTGTTTACCTATGATCTTACATGACCTAATAGAATGTGAGCAACATCCATCGGGAGAACATCACAAAGAGCCTCCTCTTTATAGTCATCTAGTTGTAAAGAAATGCGACATTATTAAGTGACTGATAAAGAAGTTTTGTCAACCCACGCAACTAAAAAAGGTTCTAGCCGAGGTTCTATCATGAGATTGAGTTGGGTAACTCCTTAACTAGAAAACACATTCTAGAACTCTTACTATCAATAACTAACTTACAAGATTTACCTCCATACTTCACAAAGGTATGGAAAATACTAGTTTGCTTCCATGAATCACTAGGCAGAGTGACCGACAAAATGCATCACATAACCCTAGCTTGACGTGCCTCACACCCATGTTCATCAATGATAATGTCCTCATCAATATCTAAAGGATACTCAATTGGTTCCATAACTATGTCAACATCAGTATCATTCTCCTCATCCTTAAAAGGTGAGTCAATAATTAAAGCTAGCTGTAGGAACTTTAAAGCAATGTGACTCTTTAAGTGACAATGAAAACACTCAACAAGAGAGTTACTAGGGTGAAAAATCTCGCTAGGCTTAGAGGTATTTCTCTTGAACCTTATTGTTTGTCTAGGTGTAATGGACAGGTTAGGCCAAGATGTAGGTGCTCCAGAAGGTCACTCTATCGGGTTTGAACTTTGTGTCTACTAAAACTGATTGCTTTGCAATTTGATAGGCCTAATAGAAGAGTATTGCAATAGTGACTCTACTTCTAAGGTTTTATGGTAAGCTTCCTCAAGAGAGCTAAGGAAGTTTAGCTTGAGCTCTTTTTATATGTATGGCTTGAGTCTGTTAATAAACCTAGTGATTGTGTTCCATTCTTCTTCATCCACATCACTTCTAATCATAAGGTTATCAAAATGCGATATATACTCAAAAGTAGTGGAAACTTGCTTCAGGTTAAGGCACTTATCGTACAATTGACTCTTGTAATGAATCGGCACATATTTCTCTTTTAACTTTGCGTTCATCTTATCCCACACCTCAATTAGAGGATATCCTTGTTGCTTGTTATTCCTTTAAACATTTTGCTAGTATTTTCTCACATAGAACCCACAAGCTTTATCTTTGCAAATCGAACTCATTGGGTATCACTCATGTCATACCATTTAAAGTAGTTTCCATGTTGGCCAACCAATCTAAGAAATTACTAGCATTCAACCTTTTATCAAATTCAAAGGCCTCAACCTTAACTTTTTTGGTGATATCATCTATATACACCCTTTTAAAGTTTTCTTTATCATTTCGATGGATTGGCTGAAGTAAACCATGATGATGTTCTTCATGGTCTTGACCATCCCAAATATCATTTAAATCTCCATATTGATGATTGATAAATTCTCGAGGAGAAGGTCTATCATGTCTTCCACCTATAGTTCCAAAAGAATGACTAATCCTAAAGGGAGTACCCATAGGTTGATTAAGGACAGGGGATTTCTCATTCTTGAAACTTGGCTCTTCTATGCATATTAGACTCTCTAACAACCCTTCAACTACCTTTCCTGTATCATGTCTGTATTGCAATTAAATTGCACTCATGATCTCTTTAAATTTATTATTAATGAGTTTCTTGAATTTATCAATTTACTAGTCTACATATGCCTTTTAAGTCCTCTCAAATTCCTTAACATGATTCTAGGTGATTTGGAAGTTACTTGCCATTGTAGATTTAAGGGTAGTGATTTCTTAGTTTAGTAAGGCTAGCTTGTCATATAAACCACAAATGGTTATATAATGACAAGGAAAACATTTTTAAAGTGTAGAGTTTTAGGTGGTTCTATAAACCTAAGGAAAAGGTTCCCAAGTTACTCTTACCTAAAAATGTAAAGTCTCTTTTTAACAAAACTAATCTCCCAAAAATTCAAGAATTCCCCAGGGATTGTATGTTAAAGAAGTAACAATTTGAGTGAAGTCTTTATAGTAACCTTTGAAGGTCTATAACCTCACAAGAAAACCATTAAAACTCTAACTAACCTAGGCTAATTTCTTGACCTAGTTATAAGGCCGAATTGTGTGTGAGGTAAATGTATCTTAGGTTGGAAACAATGTTGTCAAGAGTTATAAATTAACAATAATAATGATCAATTAAATAATTAATTTTTTTTAGAATATTAAACTAAATACAATTTAAAATTTTAAATTACATGCCCAAAAAGGACCAAATAAAAGATTTCAGACTAAGCATAAAAGGCAGAACAACCTCCTACTAATAACCATGTAAGTCAGTTTAATGAGAGGTTGATGGCTTTACCAACAAGGCTTTAAAAGTTTAAAAGTTGTACTTTTACCCCAAATAATTATTTGGAACCTTCAAGTTGCCCAAAAATGCAAATAATAATAATAATAATAATTAAATTTTACACTTCGTTCATGTCAGCTCATGAAGTCATGTGTTGGAGCTGTCACCAATGCGTGGGGCACTTGAAGTCCATGCTCAGAGAACTCCATCGACACATGGGGGCACGTGCGGCAGCGTACTGTGGCGAGCCTTTGGATTCTAGCCGAATTTTCCCTTTCGAGCACAATAACAGTTGTGGTTTTTTGTGATTTGACATTGGGAAGTGAGGTTTCAAGACTGGTAGTGTGAAATAGAGTTTTAAGGGTTTTTTTGGCTGCAAGTTTTTGTGATTTCAAGCGACAAAAAAAAAAAAAAAAACCAAGGAAGGCAAAAACACTGGCTTTGACATCAAACTGATGCAAGCAAACTTGCATAGATTTGAATAGGGGAAGAGAGTAGAGAAAAGAAGAAACAAGGAGGGAGAAATGAAGATGAAGAATAGAACAATGGGGAAGCACCAGAGGGAGATAGACGTAGAGAGAAAGGGAGAGCTTCAGAAACTCATAGTACTCAAACAATATTCATTTATCAAGTGTGTCCTATTACAAGCATAACCAAGTCTATTTAACAAAACTATAATACCTAATAAAGAAACCTTAATCACATCTCCATATAAAGCTAATTTTCATATTTACTCTTACAAAATCACACAGAAACCTTAAACCATGTCCATATAGAAAGGTTTTGAATTTCCCTTCTTACAAAATATTATAATAATAAAACAAATTTTTTTTTTTTGAATAATGTTTCCAATAATGTTGTTTCCCATATTTTTTTATCATTGTTCCATTAAAAGGATCTATGAGATTTCATAGAAGGCCGAACGTCATATGGGGAAGAGGAAGAATAGTTATTATGGAGACATCTTAAGGAGGCGATAAAATTAAGAGTGCAACTTACCCACCATTAAAAAACTGCATAGCTAGAAGCATATTAGATTTTAAAACAATAATAAGTCTTATCTCACTAAGAGAAGTCAGCTATATGGATTGCTTGCAGGAGGAAACATTGCTACATTCAACCTAGCAATGGGATTCATGTCCAATAAGTGACACGCCATCATTTATTTCCCTGACAACTATGCTTTGACACGATGCACAGGACTTGCTGCTAGAACAAATCAGCAGCGACATCAGAGGACATTTACACATAATAAGTAGTTGCATGCGTGTGGATGAATACTGATATCTTCTATTCTAATATGCGATATAATCCACATAGAAAATTTCCGCAGAACAAGATTTCTCATTTAACGTGCTTGGCAAACCAAGTCAACAAGTCTTGATGCGCCTCTTCAGCCGCTGACACGGCTTTAGCATCTTCAGTGTTGTACCTCACAGTCCACCCGTGTGCAACTTGAGGAAATATTTTCACGAAACTATGAACCTGCATAAAACAAGAAACATTTCAAATACAGATAAAGAGGACAACATTATCTTTCAAACAAAGAATTGGAGGTTAGCATCCCAATATGCGTGTGTATGAAATCAATGAGGTGGAGACAGCAATCAGTAATAAGAATATCTAAAAACTGAAGAGAAATCATTTTTTTCCAATATTAGCATGTGAAATTAGTACAAAGAAGGCTGTTAGACATTGGAATTCATTGCATTATCAGGGTTTTCAGGTTCTTCTGTGCACATGATCATGAAAGTGAGAACTTCAAAAAAGTGAAGACTGGTCCAAAGTACCAAACATGCTAAACTCCATCGTCATGGCAGAACCAAACACATGACTTTGTTTGTGCATTCATGTCTGCCACACAATGAACCAATGCTAAGGTAACTTGAAAGTTAAAAAAAATTCTGTCCTACTAAATTTCATGGACAAATTGCTTATTCTTGAACATAAATTAGAAGGAACAGCTACAGCTCAAGTGCAGAACATAAGAATAAAATGTAATCATGTTATCATGACCCCCGAAAGGTGTGAACAGCATGATACTAAGCAGAATGGGATGATAAAGGTGGAATATACTCAAAGTTGAGATACAGATACATGCAATAAATCCAATTTGTCCCCGCCCATCCAAAAAGGAAAAAAAAATAATACAATTTCTAGCTGAAAAAGATTTGTATGTTTTCAGCCATACAAATGAAATTGATGTTAACGAATCATCGAGGTATAATCAAATTACCTACATTTTCCAAATAAAAAATAAAAGAATAGCTCTTCATCAGAGAGAGGAAAACGCTACCCCAGGCTTAGCAGATAGGATTTGTTCGAACTGTTTAACAAGTTCTGGAGGAGAAATATGGTCAGTCTCAGCTCCAAGTATAGCAATTGGAATTTCAATACCTGAAAGAAAATTCAATTACTGACTACTACAGCATGTAAATATCAGTAACTGCTTTAAGAAACTTCTCTTTGCAATTTTCATTTGAAATCTCAAAAATTTGAATACATTTTGAATGGAAGAAGTTCCGAAATCCTAATATTATGAAAATCGTTCCATGATCAATTATATCTAAAGAATTTTGATATGAAATTTCAAAAGAATTGGATACAAAACCAATGTAAACAGCTCCAGCTCAGGAAATAATTACCCTCCCAAAACATACATCATATGAACAGATCTCCATGTAATTTAAAAGTCTCTTATGCAACATCCTCAAATTGATCATATAACAATAAACTGCAACATGATTCTGATAGTTTTCCTCCTTCAGGAAATGCAGATGCTAAATTTTACCCCTAAAACACCGCAGGCTAATTAACATGAAACTATGGCATTGAAAAATCATACCCTTGATGTCATCCACAGTGACTAATGATGGGTGTAATAGCACAGCAGCATTAATAAGTCCATGTTTTGCAACTTCAACCACAACCTTGGCTGAGAAGGGGGTAAAAAATACAAGTCAAAATCACTCAAGAGTCAAGACAGTTGACTAAAATCACTGTATAACCGCTAATTTAATTATAAATTCATTTGTAACTAAATAGATCCAGTACATACACCTACAAAGATCTGAAACTGCTAGATACCCAAAATGAGAAAAATACAAAGAACGCATAAAAAGTGGAGCAACAGGCACTCACCACCCCAGCAAAAACCAGCAGCCCCAATTGCTGAAATACCTTTACCTTTTAAGGCTTCAATCACAGGTTTCGCAACTTCAATACCTTTGACCTAATGGAACAATATGACAGCATGAGGGAATAATGTATCACAGTTTACAAATGAAGCATGATTATTATACATTTATTTTTTTTTCCAATTCATAATGCTTGATCCCAAAATCCAAACCATATTGTTCAGATGGAAGTTTTCTAATAAGAATGCAAAATATTGTTTTTTTTTTTGGGCACATGCACATTATTAGACGGGCTTCCCTTGTCTCTTAAGATCAACTAACCCATGGGTAAGTGATGTTCACATGAAACCTTCCCCCTCTTTGGCCTTCAAAGTTTTCTCAGTGGATGCAAAAGATTTTATTCAGATTAAATTAAAAAAAAAACGTTATTTTTTAAATATCAAACAAGACATTGTAAAATAAAATGTGTTCTAACATAACAGGTAACATTAAGAGCTGACCGGTGAATGATCTTTTATCCAAACAGATAGTGGCCGGTCAGCTTTCTCAGTATCAAAGGGATCACCATGGAAGAAATCAGGAACTACTACAAAATACCCTGCAGCAGCAACTTTGTCTGCAAGCTTCCTTCACAACCGAAAAGAAATGGCATTACTACCGAGGGGATATTACTTCATTAATCAAACCAGAAAAATTGTAATGAGAGAGAGAAATCAAAGAAATAGCTGACAAGTATAGTCAAACCAGATTATCATATCACCTCTTATCATCTAAGAAAGTCAAAAACCTAGTTTTATAGTACCGACAAAAATCATAGACATCATACAGCATTACTTTCACAAACCATAACCTCTAAATTATACTTCGCACATCTATTTGTTTTTGGTAAGGTAAAACAGATAGACAGCCCTTCTATTATTTCTTCATAAAAATCAAACTCTGTCTGCTACCTGAAGCAGAAGCTGAGCTAATGGTAAAAAGAGGACGAATTGGTTCAACTAAAATATCAGGCAGATTAACTTCCATACGAACTTCATGAAATTCATGAATCCATGATAGAAATGAGCAATTGGATGCAAGAAAACGGGGATTTTAATTTTGAAATATAGACATGCACTAAGATTTTTTTTTTATTAGCAGCAGGTGTCAATCACCCAAAACGTATATAAAAGAAAAATTTGAATAACTTAAAAGACCGTTGACTATTTTCATGACTTTAATTACAATAGACATCACTTTCAAATAACTTTCAGGTTCCAAACATAACAACTAATGAAGTCCAACTATAATACAGCTTGAAGAAAAACAGGAGGCCAAAATAAATAAGTTACTACGAAAATAACTATACCAGACAAAATAAGAAACAAGAAAAGCAGAAAGATAAATTAGTTATACCTCAAATTTGGCGCTTCATAACCTGCAGGACAAGTTGCACATGCGAAGTTAAAACTTAAAAGATGACTTTGGTTAACATCTATAGAGTCGACACATGTTATTACTGATTCGGTGAAGAGACCACAGGTTCAAAAGATAATGACTATTGCAATATCTATCAGGGTAAAAAATGATATCGTGCATGAGTGCATGCATCCAAAAATATATGCATTTGCTTGTTTTAACTTTAAACCAAAATATATCATACGCACATATATTTGAACAGAGATAAGCAAATAACACTAACGGATACATTCGGCCCAAAAAGGCATTTTGGGACCTAAAAGAAACACATCCGAAAGTTCTGCTCCATTCAACCCAAAAAAGGGGGTCTCTATTGTTTTATCAGGCGTCATGTAATAGTAATAATAGACCAAACTTATTCAGAATAAACTTCCAGAAGTAAAACCACATGACTCACAAATAGATGGTATTGGTAACTCAAAGCTGAAACATCATGATCGGAATTTATTAGATCTTCGAACAAAATCTTCCGTAAACCCGAATAGGGCCATGGGTGTAATCTAAAAATAACAACATTGACCACAAAACGATGATACTTCATAGAAGACCAAAAATGAGTGAACGAACTGATGATAAACTAAATAAGTTACCAAAAACATCGGCAATCAGGAGAACGGCAAGCTTGGTGTCGGCGGAGCCAGTGATGTAAGAATCGACGCCACCAACTTTTTCTACTCGACCAGCTCCAGCACTGGGGTTGAGGGTTGGAGGGTTTGAGCAACACTCAGGACCTGACATCTCTCACTTCTTCTTCTTCTTCTTCTTCTTCTTCTTCTTCTAATTCCAGTAATCACAACACGCAGTGCAGATCAAAGCTCGATACTTCCTCTATTAGAGGGATTTGGCGAGTAGTTAAATATCATGAACGGATCTTTCTGGAGTTTGCTTCTAGATGATTGAGGAAGGAGGACCACAAACGGAAGTTCCATTTGCGTCTGTGATGACGTTTAGCGTTACGTCACGGATGATATCTCCGTGACCGTGTAAAGACCAAGATAATGAACAATCCGTTAGTTAGCCTCGCACAATATGGGTAAAGGGGGCGACATTAGCATTGGGGGTGTTCTGCCTCAATTTTTGGACTGTGTGCACAACTGGTTGGGGGCTAGTGCCGCCTCCCTGATAAGCCCATGGCAGGGCGAAACTAGTGTGATCCGTATGTGGTAAGGCTTGTCCTGAGAATTATAGGGTTCTCCAGGACGCCGCACGGGCGCCGTGTGCTGCGCCAGACTCTCAGCCCGTGACAGAGTGGTATCAGAGCAAGACATACTTTATTGTCGTGTGCGCGTGGGGTCCCACGTTGGGACTGGTCGGCCTCGGCACCGCTCCAGAAAGGCCTCCGAGCAGGTGGGTCCAAAAGTGGGGACTCGGGCGGGAAGGTTGGCCGTTGTCAACTCCACTCCTGTTAGCTCGCGGGTGCGAGTGGGTCCGAAGAGTGCAGGACTCGGGTGGCTACTCAGCAGTAAGCTGATGTGTTTGTGGCAGTACTGTACGTACGATCCTTGGGCGGAGTCGTTCTCCCCTAGCACGAGGGCGTGCTGGATTGGGTGTGGGAGAATGTCACGGATGATATCTCCGTGACCGTGTAAAGACCAAGATAATGAACGATCCACTGGTTAGCCTCGCACAATATGGGTAAAGGGGGCGACATTAGCATTGGGGGTGTTCTGCCTCAATCTTCGGACTGTGTGCACAACTGGTTGGGGGGTAGTGCCGCCTCCCTGATGAGCCCATGGCAGGGCGAAACCAGTGTGATCCGTATGTGGTAAGGCTTGTCCTGAGGATTATGGGATCCTCCAAGACGCCGCACGGGCGCCGTGTGCTGCGCCAGACTCTCAGCCCGTGACAGTTAGCACCAAATGGTGAAATGCAGCAAAAATGCTATTTTTCTTTCGCGTAGAGAAGAGATGAATACTTGCTTTTGCTTAGGGGAAAAAAAAAAAAGAAAGAACAGATGAATAGTTTGGCCGAATAAAAAAATGAAAAATAGGGAAAATTACAATTGAAAAAATTAATTATTTTCTTAATTATTTCTACAAGTCAAGGTTTGATAACTTTGATATTTAGATGTCAAACCTTGACTAACCTATGGATAATTATTTTTTATTCGTGAACTGTATATAATTATCTCGAAAAAAAAACAGGGAGATAAATGAGATAGGGTTAGTTCTCATTTCTCACCCATTTTAAATTATTATTGACAAAGCCAGGAATAATTTCTGGAAAAGACTAGAATGTCTCTTTGAATTGTATTATTAGGCCTAATAAGGCTCTTCCTAATATTCTGATCAAAGACTTTTCTTGATATTCCTTCCAATATTATTTATAAAACTCTAATTATTGGTTATTAATACAAAATCTCTTTATAAAATTTAATAAAATGTTTGCCAATCATTTCAAATAGTCCTCTCAAATAATGGTTTTTCCATCTCCTCTCATCCAATGAATACCAATACGAGGAAAATTCTGAAAGTTATAAAAAAATTATATTTAATTAATTTTAACTAATTTCAGTAATCTCATGAAAGTAGTTAATGAAGCTTTATGACAAGGATTAGAGCAAGTATTTAGCTTAAACAGCTTATGATTTTGGTAACATAATAAAATTCTGTCCAACAACCACCTCAGTTGTTGGACGATGATGGAGGATGAAAGGATAAATATTTGTACTTAATAAGTTTTAATTTTTTTTTATAAACGATGTATTTGCTGAAAATTATGGGTGTTTTTTTTTTTGGGATTTCCACTTCGTTTTTAGTTTTTCTCTATTACAAAAAGAAAAATAATTTCGCAACTAAGGAATAAAAATCTTTAAATTAGGTTTTGTCTATCAGTGACTCTTAACATTTCGGAAAAGGAAATCTTTACTGTTTAGGGGTGTTTATTCCTTGTATTCACTAAAAGAATAATTTTTTTTTCTTACACACAATTTGTTCTTAAACAAATTAAGACATGCAGTGCCTATATTTTTACTATTTCTTATTTACAAATTGAGATAAGTTATATTTCTATGACTTCAATAGTTTTATAAGGTTGGTGAATTTGAATCAGAACATTTATTATACTATTCTTATTATCTGAACAACCCGTATGTAACATCAAATGCAAGTTACCGCTAATGTTTATCAGTTTTAATCTCTGACTCTAGTTGGGAATTTAAAAAGAAAATTTGTTATAAGGGTTTTCAAAATTTTTATGGTTTCAATATTTTTTTTTAAGTGAGAAGAAAGAAAGTTTTCTTTTAAGAGTTCTATTAAAAAAAAAAGTGCATTCATTTTTCGAAAATACCCTCGTTAATCATTTTTATTGGAATTTATCCCTGTTGCATGCAATCAATGAAAGTAATTTGGAGGAAAACAATAAATGTGAGAGACAAGTGAGATTATGATTTTACATTTAATATCAAAACAAACTCTTCAACTAATTTCTATAAATAATTTAGATCTAAGCAAGTGTTTTTTTTTTTTTGACCAACAGATCTAAGCAAGTTTAAATAATGTGCCTTTCATACCACACTTTTACAAGAAGTCTAAATGCTATATTTATAAATTATATGTCGCATTCTGCTAAGTAAAAGTATACCGGAAGAAACATTCAAAAAATTCTAACTCCCCAATTGTTTATTAAATCTACAACATGCCAGCAATTTATATTTAATTATCACGTCGTTGAATGAGAACATTAGAAAAAACTATTTTGATTTTATTTTGATATTAAACAATTAAACATACACTAAACCAAGTCAGGCTTTTTTTTAAATTAATTAATATTTTCAAAATTGTGAAACTTTCTATGTGACTTTGCACTTTTAATAAGCATTGCATCAGCCCACAACGTAGAGTACATAAAAATTTTAAAATTTATATCTCCAAGTCTTTAATACAATGCAATGTACACACTACATACTATGCCTTGACACAATGCACACGTTTCTGTCGTGTGCTAGAACAAATCTGCAGCGACATCAAAATACACCCACACATACTATGCAGTTACATGCACGTAGAATGAATACTGATAATCTTGTACTCTAAGATTCGACATAATCCTCATTGAAGATTTCTGCAGAACAAGATTTCTCATTTAAGGTGCTTGGCAAACCAGGTCAACAAGTCCTGATGTGCCTCTTCTGCTGCTGACACGGCTTTAGCATCTTCAGTGTTATACCTCACAGTCCAACCATGTGCAACTTGAGGAAATATTTTCACGAAACTTTGAACCTGCATAAAACAAATGTGTTAATCAGCGACATATCGAATATAGGTGGTGGATGATGAGAAGATGCACGGAATGTTTCTTGCTAGGCATGCTGCTATTTCTATAGGTAATTTTTATACTTTTGATCAACCACCATCTTATTGTCAACAGGTGATGGATGATAAGAAGCTGTGGTTTTTTTCTCTGAACTGATTCGTAATTGTTTTTCCAATTAATGTACCTCTTTTCCCATTAAAAAAAATACAGATTGTATAAAGCGAACAACTGCCATGGGAATACTTAACCGAAGGATAGAAGGATACAACAACAATAGCAAGGCTTGTCCTACTACATGGGGCTAGCTACATGAATTACATGACATCATTATGCTCTATCAAAACTAAAGGATAGAAGGATAATGGTAGCAAACTCGCAAGATGCCAAAAGATACTAAGGACAGAATTATCTTTCAAACAGAAGATAGGAAGTTAGTATTCCCCTATGCATGTTTGTGTAATCAATGAGGTGGTGATAGCAATCAGTAATAAGGTTCTCTGAAAGCTGAAGAGATATCATTCTCTTCCAATATTAGCATGTCAGATTAGACATTTGAATTGATTGCATGATTAGGGTTTTCAAGTACTTCTTGTGCATGTGATCATGAAGGTGAGAATTTTCTAAAGGAAAAGATTTCAGTACTTAACCTTATATACTTAATATATTTTTATATAATCAAACTGAGAACACTAGACTTAAATGTGTTGGTAATATTAATAGTAAAAATTTGTTAAAGAATAAATAATATATAAAAGATCCACATACCTTGATTTCATTGAAAACAAGCACCTTAAATATATAAGGCTAAACATATAAGTTTTTCCTTCTTCAAAAAGTGAAGACTGAGTCATAGCACCACCAAACAAGCTAAATTCCATTGTCATGAGTCATCACAGTGCTAAATGCTCGGCTTTGTCAGTGCCTTCTTGTCTTCCATACAATGAATCAATGCAAAGGTAACTTGAAAGCCAAAAAGAAAAAACAAACTTGCTTTCTACTCAAGTTCATGGACAAATTTATTATTGTTGAACTACTACAGCTCAAGTGCAGAAGATAAGATTAAAATGTAATTATGTCAATTACCCCAGAAAGGTGTGAATAGCATGATACTAAGCAGAATACGATGACCAAGATGGAAAAGTTAAGATACAGATATAATCAAGGTATAATCAAATTACGTAAATTCTCTTTGATAAAAGAATAGTATTTCATCACAAAGGGGAGAAATCTTACGCCAGGCTTAGCAGATAGGATTTGTTCGAACTGTTTAACAAGTTCTGGAGGAGAAATATGGTCAGTCTCAGCTCCAAGTATAGCAATTGGAATTTCAACACCTGTAAGAGAATTCAATTATTGACTGCTACACCAGGTAAATATCAGTGACTGCTTAAAGAACTTGCTTTGCAATGTCCATTTGATATCTCAGAAATAAGAGAATTAATATGAATGGATCCTGAATCCTAATATTATGAAAAGTCAATTGCATGACCAATTATAGATCTATAATACCAAAAGAAGTTTAATTAAAAAAAATCAAAAGAACTGGATAAAAAACCAATGTAAAGAACTCCTGTTAAGGAAATAATTGTCCTCCCAAAGCATAAATCATATGAACAAATCTCCATGTAATCTAGAAGTCTTTATTGAAAATGCTTAAATTAATCATTTAACTAAACGCTACAATATAATTCTGATAATTTTCTTCCCATTGAAAATGCTCTATTTTTTTCCATAAAACGGGGTATGTAATTTAACAAGAAAATAAAGCATTGAAAAGGCATACTCTGGATGTCATCCACAGTGACAAAAGATGGGTGTAATAGCACAGCAGCATTAATAAGTCCATGTCTTGCAACTTCAGTTACAACCTTGGCTGAGAAAGAAAGAAAAAATATGTCGAAGATCTGAAACTGTTGATATGTAAACAAAATGAAAAAAATACACAAACACAAAAAACAAGTGAAATAAGAGGCACTCACCACCCCAGCAAAAACCAGCAGCCCCAATTGCTGAAACTCCTTTACCTTTTAAGACATCAATTACTGGTTTAGCAACCTCAATTCCTTTGTCCTAATTGAACAATATAACAGCATCAGAGAATAATGTATTACAGTTTACAAATGAAGCATGATTATTATACAGTGATTTTTCCCCCCAATCCATAATGCTTGATCCCAAAATCCAAACCATATAATTGAGAAGAAATTTTCTGATAAAGATGCATATGCAAAAGATTTTATTCAGATGAAATCAAAAAAGGTTATTCTTTATAATAAGTCAAGACATCATAAAATAAAATGTGTTTAAGTATCACAACTATTAACATAAGAGCAAACCTGTGGATGATCTTTTTTCCAAACAGATACTGGCCTGTCAGCTTTCTCAGGAGCATAAGGATCACCATGGAAGAAATCAGGAACAACTACATAATAACCTGCAGCAGCAATCTTGTCCGCAAGCTTCCTTCACACTCAAAAACAAATGGTATTACTTTCCAGTGGAACATAGTTGATTAAGCACATCCGAAAAATTGCAATGAGAAAGAAATCAAAGAAAGAGATGACAAATATAGTCAAACCAGATAATCATATCACCTATTATCATCTAAGAAAATCAATAACCTAGTTCTATACCTACATATATGCCAGACATCATACAGCTTTGCTTCCGTTAGTAAACCTTAATCTCTAAATTATACTTAGCTCATCAATTTGTTTATGACATGATAAAAGATAGACAAGCCGTTTATTATTCCTTCATCAAAATTAAATTCTGCCTGCCACCTGAAGCAGAAGCTGAGGTAAAGGTATAAAGAGGGCAAGTCAGCTCAACTACAATACCATGCAGATTATCTTCCATATGAACTTCTTGAAATTCCTTAATCCACAATAGAAATGAGTAATTGGATCCAAGAAACAAAGGATTTGAATTTTGATAGGTAGAAATGCACAGGAATTTTATTATAAGCAGGGGGAGTCAATTACCCAAAACGTTTATAAAAGAAAAAATTGAATAATCTAGTCCCTTTAAGTAAAAAAGACATCACTTCCAAAGAATTTTCAGGTTCCGAACATAACCACTAATGAAGTCCAACTATAATACAGCTTGAAGCAAACAGTAGATCAAAATAAATAACGCACTATGAAAATAACTATACCAGCCAAAATAAGAAACAAGAAAAGCAGAAAGTATATTAGTCATACCTCAAATTTGGTGCTTCATAACCTGCAGGACAAGTTGAACACAGGAAGTTAAAAGATGATATTGATTAACATCTAGAGCTGATACATGTTATTATCATCGCACATATATTTGAACAGAGATAAGCAAACAACAGATATATTCAGCACCAAATGGCATTTTGAAACCAAAAAGAAACAAATCCTAAACTTCTGCTCCATTCAGCCCAAAAAAGTGGGTCTTACACAATTGTTTAATCATGTTACAGTAAGAATAGATCAAACTTATTCAGAGCTGAAACATATAATTGGAATTTATTAGATCTTTTGACCAATGTCTTCAGTAAACCCCGAATAGGGGCCCAAACCAACAAATAACAACACTGATCACAAAACAAACATGCTTCAAAGAAGACAGAGAGTGAGTGAAAGAAGTGATAAAAAATAAATTACCAAAAATATCGGAGATCAGAAGAACGGCAAGCTTGGAGTCGGCGGAGCCAGTGACATATGTGTCTATGCCACCAACATTTTCAACACGGCCAACTCCAGCACTGGGGTTGAGGGTTGGAGGGTTTGAGCAACACTCTAGGCCTGACATCTCTTGCTTCCTCTGATTCCAGTAATCACAACACAGTAAAGATCAAAGCTCGATAATTAGGTAATTCCTCTATTACAGGGATTTGGGGGTATTAAATGGCGGACGACGCTTTCTGGGGTTTGCTTATGATTCAAGAAGGACCACAAACGAAGTTCCATTTGGCGTTGGCTGTGTCGCTCAGACCTCAGGCCATGGCACGAAATGGCGAAATGCGACCCAAAAAAAAAATGATTTTTGAACAGTTTTAGGCCTTCAGCCAAAAAAAAAAAAAAATTATAGAAAGAGAGATGAATACTACCGAGATTCCTCCCCAATACATTAGTGAAAACTGAAAAGGGCACCCGACTAAAATTGATATCGTAAATATTTCGATTTCGGTTACTTAAATAAGTGGCTGGGAAGCAATGTAATACTTTGAGCGAGAGAGATTTTCTATTCAATAGAACCTACTCTTTTATATACTTAAAAAAAAAAAAAAGGACACCTGATTATAATGTTTGGATAAAACTACTAGTGCATAAATTAAACATTTTAGGGGACATGATCTGGACTTGGACTAAATTACCCCTTTAATAAAATATGAAATGAATATAAATTTGAGGGCTGGATGCATCTAAGTCTAGAAAATAAAATTATGAAAACTATGAGATATACAGATATTTATTCCAGGTAACAAAATTTTTAAAAATAGTATATTTAAATATTTGGTAAATAACCGAAGATTTACAAGCATTTAGCAAATATTTGGTTTTGATGAGGGGAAAAGTAGCAAGAAAATGGAGGGTAGAGAAAACAATTAGGAGGAGAAATTTTCTATTTTTTAAGGTTTTTCTCCTAATTTTCTTTCCTCTATCTTTTCTCCAAATGAAGGATTTGGTCATAGCATGAAATGGCAAAATGTCAAGAAAAACAATTTTTCTATTATTTTAAAGGAGATGAATAGTTTTGGCCAAATAAAAAAGGTTAAGTTTTAATTTTATCCCTATATTTATTTTTAAAAAGCAATGGATTATAATGACTTTTATCATTAACCCCAGTTAAACTAAGTAATCATGGTTTAACAAAGATTTATTTAAAGATTTTACCCAAAAGAATTTCATTTAAAGAAAACAATCTTTACATATGGGATTCCCAAAATAAAATTAAAAATGTGATTAGATCATTTTTCATAAAATTAGAGTATATTTAATATGCAAAAACATGAGAAAAAGCGAAAGCCATAAAAAGGAAAGATAAAAGGTCATAATTGTCATTTTTGAAAAACTATACTAGTTTGATGCAACTAAGACTTCTTTGCCGAGGCCAACTATATGTTGACACACATGCCATGGTGAATGTTATCTCTACCACAACCGACCCCATATTGACGCAAACGTCATGGCTATTGACACTCATGCTATGGCTTGTGGCTTAAAAGCCTTCTCATCGCAACCTACGACATTCCTTATTACAACCAACACAAATATACATACTCACCATGGCCAAACATGTTGTTGTGGCGGCAAACTCCATACTATCAGTGCAGCAACGTGATAGTAGGAATACCATTCCCAAATACATATAAGTAATTTAAATTCATGTATAAGCTACTCTAAAATAAATATATTAGACTATGACAAGAAGTAAAGGTCATTAATCAGGTCAATACACTTATATGGATAATCTTTCTCAAGACACAAGATCAAGCAATCAAAAATGCTCAAGTTAAATGCTAGGCTTATGAAATTGAAACATGATCAAAACATGAACAAATCCCTAATATTTGGAATATTAAGTATTTAACTACACAACTAAATAACTTAGGACTTAACTTGTGAAGTTAAGCGTCTCTAGTCTCTACTTCTTCCTCCATTAGCCTTACTCTTAGTGTTTCTTGAAAAAATGTTAACAAGCGTGAGTGAGATTATACAATCTTAATAACCAAAAAAATTTAATTAAGGTATATTAAAGTGTGGCAATTGTATACATATAAACAATTCATAATATATACTCAACCCATCACATAATCACATATATTCATATACTAATGCTTTATGATCAATGCAACTACTTTACATCTCTCCTTATATCATCTAACTGAATCTATGGGCTAATAACTCATACAGAACTAACTTATGTGATTAGATTAGCCTCAATCTCCAATTATGAGAGTGCACCTGGCTAAAGGCTCTCACACTCACTCTCAGACTATAGGACTCGTTTACTTGAATTTTATGGTGTTATAAGTACCCAGCCCATACTGTCCAGTCCAAGATTAACTCGTTTACTTTAATTTTATATGATAGATTAAATTTAATAACAAATATGATATGAAAGAATATCATATCACTTTTATAGTTTAAATTTATAAGATAAATTTAAATTAGATATGATATTATAAATTTTATTTATGAGATAAATTTAATCTAAATTTCGTTTGGCTCTTCAAGAGGAAGGCAAAAATCTTAATCTATATATAATAGATACAAGGGGACGTGCCAAAAAAAAAGTTAGAAAAGTTCTGACGGCCAAACATTTTGAGAGCCATGAAATGTAACATCCCAAAAATTAACCTAAGGTTAATTAAGTTAATTTATAGCAAATGAGTAATTTTGGAGAAATATTTAAATATAAATATTTTTACTTAGAAGATTATTATTGAATTTAATTTAGATTAAAATTTTAAGTTATGATCTTATAGTAAATAGAAATAGTAATGATAATATTATAAAAAAAAAAAAAGAAAGAAGAAGGAAAAGGAACATAAAATAAATTGAAAATTGAAGAGGGGGAAGAGAAGTAATTTTTTCTTTAGGTGTTGAGGTGTAAATAATGCAAGAAAAAAAAGAGAAAAGTTGGGGCGAAAACCGTGTGCACATTGGAGAAAAACAAAAGGAGAGAGAGAGGGGGGCATGAATTTATGTGTGACCTACACCTTTTTTTTTCATATGTGATATATATATATATATATATATATTCATATGTGTATGTATCTGATATACATACATATATGCATATGTGATATATATATTATATCATATTATATCATATTATATTGTGTTAGTTTTAAATTTAATTTTATATGATATATTAAATTTAATAACAAATATGATATGAAAGAATATCATATCACTTTTATAGTTTAAATTTATAAGATAAATTCAAATTAGATATGATATTATAAATTTTATTTATGAGATAAATTTAATCTAAATTTCAGTTGGCTCTTCGAGAGGAAGGCAAAAATCTTAATCTATATATAATAGATACAAGGGGATGTGCCAAAAAAAAAAGTTAGAAAAGTTCTAATGACCAAACACTTTAAGAGCCACGAAATGTAACATCCCAAAAATTAACCTAAGGTTAATTAAGTTAATTTAGAGCAAATGAGTAATTTTGGAGAAATATTTAAATATAAATATTTTTAGTTAGAAGATTATTATTGAATTTAATTTAGATTAAAATACAGTTATGATTTTATAGTAAATAAAATAGTAATGATAATATTATAAAAAAAAGAAAGAAAGAAGAAGGAAAAGGAACATAAAATAAATTAAAAATTGAAGAGGGGGGAGAAAAGTAATTTTTTCTTTAAGTGTTGAGGTGCAAATAATGTAAAAAAAGAGAGAAAAGTTGGGACGAAAACCGTGTGCAGATTGGAGAAAACAAAGAGAGAGAGAGAGAGAGAGAGAGGTGTGAATTTATGTGGGACCTACACCTTTTTTTTTTCAAAACAACATAGTCACCCCTTCTAATTTCATTTTCTCTTCCCTTTCCTCACTTCTCTTCACGCACGATGGAGAGAACAAAAACAGAGCAAGTGCGCGTCATCGATGGGAGCTGATTTAAAAGATGAAGCTCCATAATAGGATACTTTAGATGAGATTTTAAGTATTTTAAGATTAAGTAAGTATTCTAAACATTTTTTCTTAGTCGTTTTTCCCTTAGAGCTGCAGATTTTAAGATTTTAGAACACCTAGAGTTTGAAAGAGGGATGAATTTTAATGAGTAAATCTAATTATTGAGGTTGTTAGTAGTGTAAAAAATTTTCTAGAGTATTATTTTGTTAATAGAATTAAAATTTGAGACATTTGAGTTTATCCCTAAATCCCTATAGGTAGATTTTTGGTTAAATCTGAAAATATAAATTGATTTGTTGATATTTAGATGATTATTTGAGATGAGGAATAAATTATTATGGCTATAGAATAATGATTCTAGACTTGAAATCAAGTTTGCAATTTTTGAATATTTTTATGTGCGAATTTTGGAATAAAAAGGGAAATTTTGATATTAGAAAATTATTTGAATGAAATTATTGTGAAGGAGACCATTGAACCAAGTAGATAGATTCAAATACATGAAATTAAATTTTAGAACTCAAGAGGCTAAGACTAAGGTCTTAAAAAAATAAAATAAAATAAAATAAATACTTAGGTGTCAGAGTATGAGTGAAAATTGTGTTAATAATATTATTGACACATTGGGATATGATCAATTGTAGATTAATTTTCTTTTGACACCACTCAAACTTTGAAAAGCTTTGGAAATGTTGTAACTTGAGGGGTAACCTTTGACCTCTCAAAGGTTGAGATAACCGGGGGAAATTTATTTTATGCATTTGTATATTACTTAATTAATTATGTTGGTAAAATAAAAGAATATATATATATATATATATATATATGTCTAAATTTTAAAATGGTTGTTTGTAATGCATGTGATTTTGTTGAGACTCTATAACTTGTGACCAAGTTAATTATGACTTAGTATGAGTAATGAGATTGATGGTTGGTGATTATGTGTACACTCTTGGTTATAATTTGTGGATTATGCACAGTGATGAATTGTATGAGCATGTTGAGTTTTATATGATGCTAATGTGGTTTTATGTGATAATATAAAAATTGATGCAAGAAGCATGATTGAAATATGATGATTCTTGATGTTTGTTGAGCAAGAAAGTTGATGAGCAAGTGAGATAATTGTGAATTATATATATGAGTTTTTAAAATGTATTTTCCCATGAGCATTATTATATGGTGGGAGTTTGCCTTAGTGAAGGAGTTAGCAGTTATGCAAAATTCATATGGTACTTGGCTATTAACCAATAATCCTAGGGGTTATAATCGCTATTTACCTTGTAAGGTACTATAGCATTGTTCCTATCAAGGAACTTGACCCAACTGGCCTACCTAAAGTTTTAGGTAGAGCTAGTTTTGGGTATGACACCCCATAGTGTGCAATTTGGGAAAACTGTG